AATGATACAAACCCCCACATCGCGACCCCACAATTGTTGTATGGATGGGAAAGTGTATGCGTGGACGCAGTGGGTTCCGCCCCTCCCCCCTCTACGAGAGGGCTCTACTTCCGGAAGATATAACCTAATCCAAACTAAATTTTTAATGTAAATAATTACCAAATTTGGTGAATTACGTTGTATAATCCAAACCAAATTTTCGTTTCGAATCAAACTTTAACTTTAAATATCTCCGAAATTATAAGAGACCGCCGATTAAGTTATAAGAAAAAGTTACTCAGGGTCATGTCCTTAACAACATATGTCAAGATCAAGGTCATTGGCGAGGTGTCCGTTAATGTAAATAATTACCTTAATTTTTTTTATTTTAGATATATACATATGTATATATTAAAAATAAAAGTTTTTGTGTCAAACAGAGAAAACACAAAATATATTAGTTTTTTTATATTAATTATGATCAGTGTTACATCAAACTTCTCGAAGGAAAATTAAAAGAGATGTGTCAGCACTTATTCCAAATAATAAAAAAAAGAAAATAAGCTATAAATAGATAAATAGATAATAAATAGATTCATCTAAAATATTTTTTAACACACAGTGCTGTATTAGAAACTCCCCTTTCTTTACAATTTACGATTTTTTAGCATTTGTTTGCTTGTCCTTTGGCTGTTTTATTTTAGATGCTGGTGTAAGATCGGTATCAGTTTTTGGACTCAATAGATAGAAGAGTTGGACATCAAATTCATTTTTTATCGCTTTACCATTTGCCCATTTTAAATGTTTTTTAGCTTTTATTTACTTATCCTTTAGTTGTTTCATTTTAGACGCTAGTGTAAGATCAGTATCAGTTTTTGGACCCAATAAAGGAGTTCGACATCAAATTCATTTTTTATCGCTTTACCATTTACTCATTTTAAAATGTTACGTACTTGTTGCATTAGTCGACCAGAGTTAAAATCTATTTCGATATAACATAAAACTGTGATTACTTATAGCAATGCTGGGAATTACTTGTAATTTTCGGCCGGATTTCTTGACTCACGCCTACTGCTCTCCTCTTACTGCTCGCGCCATAGCAACGCCAATGCCGGACGCTCGTAACTGTAAAACCTATCGCACAATGCAAAGATACAGGCAATAGGAACAGGGAATAACACAGGCAACAGAAATAACCACATTTCAACTTACCAGAAATTGTGTATCAACGCACAATGGAATATGGAATAAGCAATAGGAACAGAATTTCCAACGCGTTGGATTTCTGTTCTCTATTGCCTGTTCCTGACCAATCACAGTGATTCAGTTTATTTGCTAGGAAGGGCGCGTATTTTCATAAGTTTTCATTCCGTATTTCTATTCTCTGTATCTATTGCCTATACCTTTGCATTGTGCGATAGGCTTAAGGAGCGCGTCACTTATTATTAGTCTGAGGAACGTGCGTATCACAAATGTAATAGCACGATACTCTAGTAGCAAAAGTTCTCATTGAAATTTCTTATTCAATATTTTATTTTGTATTAATAATAAAAGTAATTATTATTTTATCATTAATTACGTATATGTTCTATAACAATTTAAAATATTTGTGTTTTATTGTTACTAGAGTATAATCCTGAGACTAACAATAAGTGACGCGCTTCTTAGTTACGAGCGTCTGGCGATGCGTTGCTAAGGCATGAGCAGTAAGAGGTGAGCAGTAGGCGTGAGTCAAGAAATCTGGCCGAAAGTTACAAATAAATCCCAGCATTGACTTATAGTAACAGTAATTGCTTATAACAACACTGCTCTTTCAAATTTAAATTGTCATTTAAATATATTGTATACATGTTATTGGAATTAAATTTTAAATAATTGGCACTTTTTTAATGTTTTATTTACTTCTTTTCTAATATTTCATCTTTATGTGCCATATTTTGTCATGGTTCATTCTACAGTTCATAGATAAATCTCTGAAAATAAGATAATAATTAAAATGTCTAATAATTGAAATATTGTATTAATGTATTATATTACTATTAAAATATTACTATTACCCTAGCTCACGATATACGTGAATATAACAAACTCGACTCACTCGACTATACTTGACTCACATTATCGACCATCAATCAGACACGCATTTTTAAATATATTTTAAATATCGCCATCTATGTTATTTTTTATTTGTTATTATCTTACTGCATATAATTTTTATACAATTGTAAAATTGAAAACTTATATATTATAGTGTATTAATTACAACATTAACATAAGCAAATGTTTTTATCAATATTATGATTCACATCTGTTATTATAATCACATTAAATTCTAGACAAACTTAGTTAAATTAAATTAACATTCTCATTTTAAGAGTATGTATCACGCACATATGAAATTTGAATCATACATTCCCGCCAAAACTAAGTTTTTATTAATTTTATAAATGTAACAAAATCTTTTATCATAAATGATTAATTAAACGATTCTTTGATGTATTTTGAATTATTTGATCCAATTTCAAAGCACTTCGGTTACTTTTTGTGGATATAGTTATGTAACTTATTTATTACTCATATTTGACGTTTCATATAATTCTTAAAAACGAGTTCATTAACTATGTCCTCAAAAATAACCAATATGCTTCAAAATTAAATCTAATATAATTCAAGAAACATTTAAGAATTGTCTAACTAATCATTTATGAAAAAAATCATTGTTATATTTCCAAAACTAATAAAAACTTGGTTTTGCCGAGAAAGTACCAATTCAAACTTCATATTTGTGTGGTACATAAATTGTTACATTTACTTGTAGTTGATATCAAATTCATGTTCTAATTAATACAAAAATGTACGTATTGTATAGTAATTTTATATCATTTCACAAAACTTTTCTTGCTATTAGTCTTGTATCTTGTATTGCATTTATTTTGCTTACAAAATACTTTTTACATTAACTGTTACACTTAATTTGAGATGAACTTTCCGCAAATTTTGTTTTCTATTGTGATAAATGTATTTATTTATTTAATTTTTACTAATATTTTAGAATTCTATCTGTCATAAATATTATGACATTCTTTAAACTAATCCGTGACTAATTTTAAAGAAACGAATCTTATGATCAAAAAAAATTTCTCTATTATTTTAGTTTTTAAAATTTTTCATGATTAAATATTCAAGATGGCGATGAAATGATCCATGTTATCCCATTTGGCAAACCTGACCACATACGAAACATTTGTCGTGACCATTTCTAATGTAGGTAGGTAACTGTCCTTACTCTTTCTTCATGGTCGTCATCCGACGCATTTTCTGCATCCACACAATAACCTTTACGACTTACGACTTACGTTTTTCTCTGCCTTATTTCACGTCACAACAAATGTAAGCGCTTACTCATGTTCTCTGCCATCGGCCTTAAGGGGATCCTGAACTGACGGGCGAACTCCGATGGGTTAGCGCCCTCATCTAAACGTAACTAAAAGGGTCGATAATACCGACATTTTTAGTTCCGCCATTACCAATATAATTATTTAAAACATGCATAATAGAAAACGCAATCTTTTGCATTGTGTTCCATATATTGAAATAAGACAATATCACATATTTTTACCGCTTTATATACAATAATTAATTGATAAATTAACAAACTTTAATTCATGCGTGAGAGAGTATAACATACACATGTACGCACTAACATAATCGCAATTTCTAATATCTTCTTTCTTTTGATCATACGCTTACTATGTTCTCTCTGTATCTCTCTTTCTAATCGCTCGCTTACTACGTACCGCATATCGCTTAGCTTTTTCTTCTAGCATATTCGCTTACGCGTTTACTCGCGCTTCTCTCTCTCTCTCTCTCTCTCTCTCTCTCTTATTCTTTCATTGTCATTATTATATTTTTGTATTTGTTCAACATTTATTCTTCTATTTTATTCTTATCTCTCTACACGTAAATAAATAAATTTATTTATTTTTATTTTATATA